TGCACCAGGCGCTGTGGTTCATGATGGCCAGGGCGGAAAGGACGCGAACCATCGAGTAGTACCACGCCGAGAAGAGGGTTTTGTCGGCATCGCGTGCCCAGGACTGGGGTCCGCGTTGCGTGGAGAGGTCGGGCTTGAGCTCCCTGAAGAGCCTGTCGATCTAGGAGCAGCCGTTTTCACTGGCGCTCCAGCCACAGAGTGGCCGTTGACGACGACGCCAGCTCAGCGAGTGGCTTCGTCGGCTCCGCTCTCACTGACGACCTTGTCGCCGGGGGGGGGGGAGCTCGAAGCGACTGACTGCGCGGCGGACGGCGCCGAGGGTGCAGAGGGGTCTCCGAGCAACCGGGGTCTGCACCACCGAGTGGCCCAAATTCGATCTGCGCGGCCGCCGTTGCAGAGCGGAGGGCGCCTCGGCCGCCGATTCAGCCCAGGGGGGGCGAGGAGCCTCCCCTGGGCTGAATCGGCGGAGGAGGAGGAGGAGGCGGAGGAGGAGCCCGGGGGAGCGAGGAGCCTCGCAGGGAAACGTCCCAGGCTTTCGGATCGAGGTGCAGTTGCAATTCCTCCGCGGACAGCTTGGGCCGGCGCCCATGGCCCTTCAGCTCCCTGGATGCGTGCACGGGGCAGCGGCGTTCGAGAGAGCAGCGGATGGGCCCATCACGAAGGCCGGAGCAGCTAACGCTGGTGCCCAGGCTGCGCTGAAGCAAGAGTGGTACAGATTCAGGGGGGTCGGTACTTGGGGCCAGAACGCCGCGATGGAATATGGCCCGACGCGCTGGATCTCACGGAAGGACAGTCTGACCACGTCGGCAGATGGTTCCCGGTTCCCGTGGAAAAGAATGGACATGGACCTCGCGTTTCCCGGTGGGCGCCCCGGCCAAGAGGCGGGGGGTATTCGACGCCGCGGGCGTGAAGGGCCAGAACGAGCAGGCGGCTTTCTTTCAGGACTTCCAGGTAGCCCAGCCACCAAGCTGGCGAGCAAGGCCGCGGACACATGCAGTCTCCTCCTGCTCCTCCTCCTCCTCATCCTCATCCTCCTCCTCCTCCTCCTCCTCCTCCTCCCCCTCCTCCTCCTCCTCCTCCTCCTCCTCCTCCGCCACCAAGCTGGCGAGCAAGGCCGCGGACACGTGCAGTCTTCTCCCGGGCCGCGGGGTTCCACGGGCCGAATGTGCGTCGGGCCCACGCTCGAGCTCTCGACCGTCGGGAGAGCATCGAGTGCCCTGCAATCAAATAACCTGACATGCTTTCGACTGCTTGCGATGTCCAGCCAGCTGCCCTCCTTTGCCGTGACGACAGCACACGATAAGAACACATTCTCGGGCGTAGCATCAAACAGGGCTGCCTGAGCGCCACATTCAGGGGGAGAGTGTCAAGAACGCGGAGGCGACATTCTCGGGCCAGAGGGGCTAGGAGGAGGAGAAGGATAAGAACGGGGGAGGAGGAGGAGGAGGAGGAGGAGGAGGAGGAGGAGGAGGAGTTGGAGGAGGAGGAGAAGGAGGAGGAGCGAAGATTCACGAGGACGAGGAGGAGGAGGAGGAGGAGGAGGAGGAGGAAGAGCAGGAGGAGGAGGAAATGGAAGAGGAGGACGGGGAGGACTGTCCTTCCGCTGGTGCATACAGGCGCCCACAACCTTCTCTCCTCATCTTCGCTCAGGCGCATGGCATATGGTAGTCGTCCCGCCGTTCCGTCGATCCTACTTCTCTCCCCACCTCATGCTTTTGTTCGCCCTCCCCTGCGCACCAGCTGCTTGGAGGTCCACCGAGGGCGCCAGGGCTGGACCCAGAATCGTGCGCAGCTCTGAGGCCCTGAAGAAGGGAGAGGAGGAGGAGGAGGAGGAGGAGGAGGAGGAGGAGGCGGAGGAGGACCAACGAGGAGTTGGAGGAGTGGGAGCAGGGGAAAGAGCAGGAGTACGACGAGGAGGAGTGCGAGGAGGAGGAGGAGGAGGACGAGGAGGAGGGGGAAAAAGAGGAGGAGGAGGAAAAGGAGGAGGAGGAGGATCAGGAGGGGGAAAAAGAGGAGGAGGAGGAAAAGGAGGAGGAGGAGGATCGGACGCTAAAGCCTTGACGCTCGAGCTCGCCTACGTAATAACCAGTAAGAAGAGGAGGAGAAGAAGGATGATGATGAGGAGGAGGAGGAGGACAAGGATGAGGAGGAAGACGAGGAAAGAGGAGGAGGAAGAGCAGGAAGAGGAGGAGGAGGAGAAGGAGGAGGAGGAGGAGAAGGAGGACGAGGAGGACGAGGAGGAGGACGACGAGGAGGAGGAGAAGGAGGACGAGGGGGAGCACGAGCGCATCAGCTCCTGGAGGCAGGAGCGGCGCAGCCCCGCACAGAGGTGCGAGCCTCCAGCGCCCCTCCTGCGATGGCCCGCCGAAGCCTGGCGCGCAGAGGCAGCCCCTGCCGGTGCCCCGCGGCGGCGGCAGGCCAGCGGCGCGCGGCGGGCTGGATCGAGGATCGAGGAGCATCGAGGCGGGCCTCCTCTTCCTCCTCTTCGTCCTCCTCCTCCTCTTCCGCCTCTTCCCTCTTCCCCTTCCCCTTCCTATTCCCAATCCTCCCCATCCTCTTCCTCTCCTTCCTCTCCTTCCCCTTCCTCTCCCTCCCTCTGTTCCTTCTCCTACTCCTCCTCCTCCTCCTCCTCCTCCTCCTCCTTCTCCTTCTCCTCCGCATTGATCGTCTTCGAGGAACGAAGTTCAAGGAGGATCGATGAGGATCGAGGATCACGACGGCGGCCGCTGCGGCTGGCGTCGTCTAGGATCGAGGTGCGAGGAGGATCGAGGCCAGGGGATCGAGGAGGACCCGGGAGCACGGAGGAGGAGGATCCAGGATCGAGGGAGGATGGCCGAGGATCGGGGCGGCTTGGGGCCAGACTTCGACCCCCCGCCTTTGGCCCCCCAAGGCTGCGGTCGGGCCGTTGGGGCGCTCGACGACAGCTCGGGATGCAGAAACGAAGATGCCCAGGGGGGAGGGGTCCGAGAGTCTGGGGGTCCTACGCTTCGCAAAGGTCGGAGCGGTAGGTGTTCATGCACTCCTCCCCTGTCCTTCCCTCCTCCATCCTCTTCCTCCTCCTCCTCCTCCTCCTCCTCCTCCTTCTCATCCTCCTCATCGTCAGCATCATCATCATCATCATCATCATCATCATCATCATCATCATCATCATCATCATCACCACCACAGAACTGCTACACTAATCATCATCACTGTCATCATTATCATCATCAGCAGCAACAGCAGCATCAGCATCAGCATCCGCATCATAATGCGCATCAGCATCATCATCATCAGCAACAGCACCATCATCATCGTCGTCGTTGTCGTCATTATAATTATAATCATCATCATCATCATCATCATCATCATCATCATCATCATCATCATCATCATCACATCGTCATCATCATCAGCATCAGCATCGTCATCATCATCATGATCGTCGTCATCATCATCATCATCAGCATCATGATCATCATCATCGTCATGCCTCCTCGCACTCCCCCCTGGGACTTCGCCCCGTGTACCGGTCCGCGGCGCACCTACTCCTGCACATCCTCTTCGGCACCGCCCGCACCCCTGGGCTTCGCCCACTCCGGCCGCCTGAGGCCCCGCCTTCCTGTGCCCTGTCTCCCTAATTGAAGCTGTGCGTAGCCCGCCTAGCTTTTAGCGGAAGAGTTTCGCTCTCGCCCCGTAGATCAAAAAGTGTGCTCGGCCTCCCAGTCTGCAGGAGCGCAAGGAAGGACGCACACGCACATGAGTCCACGCTGGTGTTGGGAGCACGCCTGGCGCAAGCTTTCGTACCACGCGGCCAGTCTCACAGATCGGGAGGCCGTGCCCATGTACGCGGTTGGGCGCGTACGTCATTTGGGGGCTCCCTAAGTCTGGGGTACGGTCGGGTTCATGCGCTTTGTGGTGGACGTTGCGGATTCGCCCCGCCTCGTCACGGCGGCGACGCCAGCGCGGGTGCTCCTGGTTTAGCGCGTTCTGGGGGCTTGTTCGGGGCCTCAGGGCCCACAGGAAGCAACCCACGGCGCAAAGTACAAACGAAACGTGGGGTCCAGAATTTCCAGGGGCATCCGACAGAGGAGATCCTTCAATGTTGAACGGTTCATGCGGTGTTTGCGTGGGAGGGGTCTTGAGAACACTGGTGAAGACAAAACGTGCTAGTCGTCGTTTTACTATTCATTGTTTTGCCGATCGGCGTGGGCCCTCGCTTCCCCCCCCCCCCCAATGGAGTAGAACTTTCCTGTTTTGGGCGCCCGTTCCAAGTAGGTGGAGTCATCCCCATAGGACGCAATGTTGCAAACAGTCGCGCTAAGCAGAAGTCCGGAGCCAGACCCCCCTCCCTCCCCCCCCCCTTCCGCTCAATGTCGAAACGCCGAATAAGAAAACGTTCACCTACAACGATTATATGACAGTTTGGATCTTTCTCTGCCCGATCTCGCTCGGACTTCCTTGAAGTCTGAAGGCGAGCCGCCCGCTCATCAGGGCGCGGCAGGAGTCCAACCCTTCCACGGCTCACCACTCTCGCCGTCGCCCACCCACCCTCATTCGCGCCGTCGTCATCGTCGCCGCCGCCGTCGTCGTCGTCGTCGTCGTCGTGAGAGACGTCCTCATCGCCCGTCCCCATTCGCGCCGTCTCCACTCGCGTCGTCGCCTCCTGGCTGCCCGTCTCGCCCCATGCGCGCGTCGACTCGCCGGCTCGAGAGTCCGACAGAGAACCTACTCTGACTGTCAGCTTACTTACGTCATTTCAGATTACCGTCGTTTCGACTTACTAAACTACTACGTTGCCCCTGGGGCTCCCAAGCGGGCCTGGAACACGTTGGCCTCCAGGGAGCGCGAAGCGTCGACGCCAGGTCGCCGAGCCATCGTCGACACACAGTGGCTGACGTCTCGGTGCGAGCCGCGCCATCCATCTTGGAAGGACGAGCTCGAAAATTCACGATGCTGCGCGACCTGGGGTGTCCCACCTGTTCTGGGCCTGTCTGCGAGGCCCAGGTTAACCCGACGCAATGTCCAAGGGCATCGGCGCCGGCGATACCCGCTACGAAGCTGTCATTTCCATTGGCCACAGCCTCCTGGGAAAGGACGCATTCGATTTCGAACGCGATGAGCTTCACGCCGTCGTGATGCTTGCCGCGGGGGGGGAGAAGCTCGTGCACGACGCCGACAGGCTGGACACGCAGAGCCAGAAGGGCTGGGCGGCGTGTGCCCGGTTCCTGAAGAAGGCGGGCGGCCGGAGAAGGAATGCCGACCAGCCTCCACCATCAGTTGGGACTCTGCGGTTGTTTGTTTGTTCGCTGTTGTGGTGGGCATCCTCCGATCTCAGCAGGGCCTGGGGCCCCACGGTGACTTCTGCAGTCCAACGTGATCCGCGTCTTCGCCACTCCAAGCGTTTTGATGCTGTTTCCCCAGCGGCTTCTCTGTGAAGTGTCTGCGTGTGCCTTCTACTGCGAAGAGTGCGTCCCCGCGACCCGAACTTCCCATGGCCTCCCGCATAGAATCTTCTGCATGTTCTTCTTCCGGGTGGCCTCCCGCATAGTCCCCAGTGAGTTCTCTTGCACTGTGTCCCATTCAATCAAGAACCCTAATAAGGACGCGCGGTGAGGACGCAAGACCCTTGGCAGCCGAAGTTGGGATTTTTGGGGCGGCGGACGACGGAAACCCCCAGACGAAACCAAGGAAGGACGGAGACGCAAGAGCGAGGAAGAGCAAGGACGCAAGGGTACCCTGAGCAAAGCCGCGCGTCCTTATTAGGGTTTTTGACGGTAGAGTCTCCCGCATGGTCTGCCGCATGATCTCCCGCACGGTCTCCCGCACGGTCTCCCGTCTGGCCTCCCGCGTGGGCTTCGGTATGGCCTCCCGCGTGGTCTCCCGCATGGTGTGGCGCAAGTTCTGCCCTCGGGCCTCACGTGTGGCCTCTACGTTCCACACGGCCTCCCACGTCTGCTCTCGTTGTATGGTCTCTCCCGTCTGGTCTTCGTATGGTCTACCGCACGGTCTCACGCATGGTTTCCGTGTATGTTTTCTCCTGTGTTTGTTATATGTATTGTTGTATATGTGTTTTTTGTTCTCTCTCTCTCTCTCTCTCTTTGTTTTTCTCTCTCTCTCTCTCTTTCTTTATCCCTATGTCTCTCCTTCTTTCTTTCTCTCACACACTCTTTCTCTCTTTTTCTTTCTCTCTCTCTCTCACTCTCTCTATGTCATTGTTTTCTCTCTAAATATACATATATAGTTATGTATCGCTCTCTCTCTCTCTCCCACTCTCTACTCTCTCTCTCTCTCTCTCTCTCCCTCTCTCTCTCTCTCTCTTGGTCTCCCGTATGGCCTCCCGTATGGCTTGTCGCATGGCCTCCCGTATGGTACCTCGTGCGGCGTCTCTCTCCCCCATGGTCTCGCGTAGTCTCCGCCGTGCGGTCCCACGTGTGGTCCCCCGTGTTTCCCACGGCCTGCCATGATGGTCTCGGGTGCAGTCAAGAACCCTCATAAGGACGCGCGACTTTGCGCAGGGTGCCCTTGCGTCCTTGCTCTTCCTCGCTCTTGCGTCCCTGAGGTTTTCGGTCGTCCGCCGCCCCCAAAATCCCAGCTTCGGCTGCCAAGGGTCTTGCGTCCTTGCCGCGCGTCCTTATTAGGGTTTTTGACTGTATGGTCTTCCGCATGCTCCCCCCATCGGGTCTCCCGTGTGGTCTTTCTCTACAGTCGGGGCCCTGAAGAAGGAACCATTTTCGTTGGGGAGGGGCTCCGCGTTCCTTAAGTGTTTCACAGCTTGCCTCAGGTATTCCTTGTGTCTTCGATAGGAAACCGAAGTTTATCTAATGGAAAAAAAGGGGCCTCGCTCCTTATTTAGGGTTCCTTAGGTCAACGCCCCGACTGTATCTCTCTCTCGGTCGGTCTCCAGCATGGCCTCCCTTGTGGCCTCCTGCGTGGCCTCCCACACGGCCCATGATTTCCACACCGTCGTCTTCCGCACGGTTTCCCGTATGGTCCCCCGTGTGGGCCATTCCAGAGGCGTACGCCATCCCGCCGACCCTCAGAAGGGAGAGCTCGCGACGATCGGGGAACCAATCTTCATCTCTCGGACCCGAATACACGGGCCCATGATGCGGCCCTCTTGGGGCGCGGAGCGGGCCCTCTTCCGCGCCTCTTGGCGGTCTCGGTGGTGCTCTTGGGGCGGAGGGTAAAGGTTCACCAGCGAGGCCGGCTGGTGCTTCATGAGGACAGTTTGAGGGCGTTTGGATGTTTCTTTGGGACCTGTGGGGGCCTTATTGGGAACTCTCGGGGGGGTTCTGTGGCGCCTGCCTGCGGTTTTGGGGGTCTTCTTGGGGCGGAGGTCTCGAAAGGCGAATTCCACTTACCTCTCCTGGGCCTCTATTAGGGCCATGTTGGGGTCCTCTCGGGCCGTCGTGGTGCCTCTTGGGACGTCTTGGGGCCCTCCTGGGCGGTTTGGGGCCCTCAGAGGGGGCGTGCTGGGTCGCTTTGGATAAATCTTGCGGACCTCTTGAGCCGGCTTGGCCACTTTGAAGGCACAGAATCCGAATGTGCTAAAAATGCATGCCTTCCTGAGGCATTGGGGCGATCCTGGCTTTTGAGAACCCTCGAGGGGATCCGTTTGGAGCCCTCTTGGGGCGTCTTCGAGGTCCCCTTGGGCCGTCTTGAGGCGATCGTGGGGGGTCGTCGAGGCTCCCATCGGCGTGCTGGAACCCCTTTGGAGCAAGTTGAGCTGGAACCCGCGGCATCTTGGACGCCACGGGGGGGTTGAGACCTCTGGAGGCGCCTCCAGAGGCCCGAGGCCCCAGGGGTGCGTGGACGGGCTCGCCCCCCCGCCCCCCCCCTTTCGAGGAGGGGGGGGGGGGCGGGCTCCGGCGCGACATGGCCCCCCCGAGGGGGCCGGGGGCCCGCACGGCCTCCTCTCCCGCGCGGGTGTCTAATACGCTCCGTGGCCTCCCCCCGCTCGGGCTCCCGAGAGCCGCCTCCTCGCGCGCGGTCGTCCCCCGGGCGGCCCGCGCGGGGCCTCCCGCGCGGGGTCTCTCCCGCACGGCCTCCCCCGCGCGGTCGTCCGTGGGCGGCCTCCCGCGCGGTCGCCCGCGCGCGTGTGTTTTTGCTGTCGTTTCTCTGCGCGGTCTCCCGCGATAGGGGCGCGCCGGCAGTGCTTCCGGCGTGGCCTTCTGCGTGGAGTCTCCCGACCGGTCTCCCGGCTGCGGGTGGCTGCATGGGGGAGGGCATGGCCTCGCGCGCGGTCTGCCGAGCGTTCTGCTGCCGCACGGTCCCCCGAGTTTGCTGAGGAATGTTCTCTTTCTCTCTCTTGTTCTCCCTCTCTCTCTCTCTCCTCTCTCTCTCTCCCTCTCTCTCTCACGTTCCCTCCCTTCCTCTCTCTCTCTCCCTCTCCCTCTCCCTCTCCCCCTCCCTACCTGTTTCTCTATCCCTCCCTCTCTCTCTCTCCTTCTATATCTCTTCAGATGTGAGTGCCAAGCAGTACGCTCGATACATGGGCGCTGCTCTGCGTACTCTCTAAAGGCGCCGAGCAGAGCCTGCCGCAGCCAAGGGTGCAATTAAGGCCCACGCGCCGTGGTGCCCCCGCGTCGCCGCGGCACAAAACAGACAGAAGAAAGAGCGCTCCCCCCGCGCCGGCCCCTCCGAGCGCCGCCGACAGGGATCCCCAGAGGACCCTGGAGGTATCCAGAGCTTAGTGGGCCATGGAAACGACAGGGCCGTCTTTTTACCGGTTCCGTTCTGCCGTTTTTTTACCGGTCCCGACGCCGTTTTTGTTACCGGTTCCGTCGCCGTTGTTTGACCGGTTCCGGCTCCGGTTCCGATCCTGGAGCCGTTTTTGTTGCCGTTTCCGGTCGCCGTTTTTTTGCCGTTTCCATTTTCAAGGGACATTTTTTGGGGAAACGGTAAAAACGGCCCTGCCGTTTCCAGGGCCCACAAAGAACCAGAGGTCCTCGCCTCCGCGGTTCACATGCCCCACGGTCTTCCTCCTACATCCCCCCTCCTCACCCATCCCCCTCCTCGGTCTCGACGCGGCGGAGCGTGCTCCTGCAGGAGCGAGGGGCCATATATGCTCGTGCGGCTCCGGCTCCTGCGCGCCTCTCGACACGACTGGCGCGGGAGTGGCGACGTGGCCCCGAGGAATCGGGGGTGGACAGACCTCCTGCCCTGACACGTCGATGAAGGAATTGGCCGTTTTCGGTCCGCGAGAGGGCGTCGCGGCCGTCATTTTTGTTGCGGGTCCAGGTCCGTCGGTTTCGGTCCCAGGCCGTTTTCACCAAGGGGAGGTCTACTAAAGGGAGGTTTGTCCACCGCCGATAGATGGGGTCGGAGGATCGCGCCGCATCGCCGATGCATCGCCGATGCGGCTTGATGCGGAGGCCGATTCCTTCACGCGGACGTGAACGATGCATCGCCGACGTCGCCGATGCATCGCAGGTGCATCGCCGATGCATCGCCACTACACTGCCGCCGAAGGAAGCACATCACGAGGAGCAGCTCCCAGCGGCCCGTGGAGGTCCGCGGAGGGTCCGGCGGAGGGGCGGAGGCCCCAGCAGAGGCGCGGGGAGTCGGGGCGGCGCGGGAGCCTCGAGACGGGGGTCGATGCAAACGGGGGTCGGCCAGGGCACCTCCCTCCCTCCCTCCCTCCCTACCTCCCTGCTCCTCCTCCTCCTCCTCCTCCTCCTCCTTCTCCTCCTCCTCCTCCTCCTCCTCCTCCTCCTCCTCCTCCTCCTGGCAGGGCACCAGATCCTGCAGGGTCCTGCGAAGACCCCCTCTGGCTGACCCTGGGGTTCGCGAGCCGCTCGTGGCCGCGAGGCGGCCGCGCCTATGGGCTGACCCGGGTTGGCGAAGAGCTGCGTTGCAGTTTTTGTTTTCCTGCATTGCAGTGTTTAGGTTCCCGCTGACCCGGGTCGGGACTGGCCCGGGTCAGAAGATCCCTGAGGGCGGCGCCGGAGGCAGCAAGCAACACGGCGGGCCTCGCCAGCGCCAAGCGCCGCCGACGTCGAGCGTGTGTTTTGTTGCGCCGCCGCGCACAGGCGGAGAAGGCGGCCGCCGCCCTCAAGGTCGAGCAGGCGCCCAGGGCGTTCCGGGAGAGGTTCACCGCGAACTTCAAGGCGCTCTTCGCGGGCTCCGAGCGGAGCTACCGCGTGGACGTCCTCGAGGCGTCGCTGTCGCTGACGCCCGCGGTGTTCAGCATCGTCTAACCCATCCCCATCCCCACTGGGCCATGGCATCTGAGCCCCTACCAGCCCACCCTCCCAGGTAGGGAGAGGCCCCGCGAGGCCCAAGGGAAGCATCAGTGTCCCCACCGGGGTGGGTAAGCCGGCCAGCGGGGCCAAGGCCAAGCCAGTGGGGATAGGGATCGGATCGGTGAAACGATGTTCAGGTGTGGGCCAACGGGGAGGCCTACGAGCTCAGCGAGGCGGCGGTGAACCACGCCAAGGACCTGCGCGAGGCGTGGCTCGGCCTCCGGGAGCTCCTCGCCGGGTGGTCGTCGCCGGAGCGCACGGCCAGCGGCCGCGCCCGCTCGGAGCTGTGCGCGCGCCTGCGTCGCCTCGACCTCGCGTGGGCGGGCTTCGAGGAGGCGTACGTGGACGGGCTGCTGCAGGTGCAGCAGCGCGCCCGGGGCGCCCTCGCGGGCGCAATCGAGCAGGAGTCAGGAGGAGGAGGAGGAGGAGGAGGAGGAGGAGGAGGGAGGAGGAGGAGGCACCGATGCCGCCCCTCGTCCTGGAAAGCCCTCGTCGCCACGGACGGACTCTCGTCCTCGAGGTTCTGGTCGAAATGCAGCCCTGGAGAGGAGGAGGCACCGATGCCGCTTCTCGTCCTTGAAAGCCCTCGTCGCCACGGCCTCCTCCTCCTCCTCCTCCTCCTCCTCCTCCTCCTCCTCTCCTGTTCCTCCTCCTCCTCCTCCTCCTCCTCCTCCTCCTCTCCTCCTCCTCCTCCTCCTCTGGTCCTCCTCCTTTCCTCCTCCTCCTCCTCCTCCTCCTCCTCCCTCCTCCTCCTCCTCCTCCTCCTCCTCCTCCTCTCTCCTCCTCCTCCTACCTCCTCCTCCTCCTCCCTGTCCTCCTCCTCCTCCTCCTCTCCTCCCTCCTCTCCTCTCCTCCTCCTCCTCCTCCCTCCTCCCCCCCCCCCCCCCCTCCCCCTCCCCCTCCCCTCCTCCCCTCCTCCTCCTCCTCCCCCTTCTCCTCCCCCTCCTCCATGGAGAGGCCCAGGGTCCGGGGGCGAAGCGGCGTCCGGTGCCCTGCCTTCTGCTCCCCTGGAGGAGGGCCGCCTGCAGGCCGCTGAGGCCGCCTCCAGGACCGACCGCTCGGAGGACGCCATGGACGCGTACCGCCAGGAGGAGGTGGCGCTGCTGGAGCACCTGGGGCAGCTGAGCGTGGCCGCTGGGGCCCCCAAGCCCTCCACCCAGGTGGGCGGCGGATCGGCGGCGAACCGTGGGGGGGGGAGGTGAGAAGCGGCGGGCCGTCTCAGAAGGCTCGGAAGTCCCCCGGCCTTCTGAGCAGTGTTCGAAACCTTCCCCGAAGGCACAGGGAATCTTTCCGAGGGGGCTTCCGAGAAGCCCCGCCGCCTTCTGAGAGGGCCTTCTCCTTCTCGCTTCCCCCGCGCGCTCGCCGCCGAACGGAAGGAAACGGAGTCGGCTGCGCGGACATGCGCGCGTAAGCTTCCGCGTAAGGTCGCGCATAGGCGCCCTCTTCTGCACGCGGTGTGCCATGCTGGCTGCTCGCGCAAGCCGCGGCGTAAGGTCGCTACATGTCTTCTTGCGCTAGACCCGTTCCTCTTCGTCGCTCAGGTGGCGGAGTTCGCGGTGCAGATCCTGGACGAGGCCGTGCAGGTGCTGGCGATCTCCGGCGCCTGCTGCGACCAGGGCGTGCCCGACCCGACGGCCGTCGGCGCCCCCCCAACATGCTTATACTATGTGTTCGTCGCCCCCCCAGGGCCGACGCGCGCACCGAGAAATCTTCCAGTGTATGCGCCGTGGCGGGCGCTTTCTGGCCACACCGCTCGAGGAACGATATACTACAAGACGGGTATACTATATGATCGGGTCGGACGCGCGCCTCCGAGGCGGACATATAGTATCAGTATGCCTCTGCGCGTCCCAGGTCGTGCTGGCCGCGCGGGCAGTGGACTCCTACAAAGGCCTGCGCGACTACCTGGTCAACGTGAAGGCAGGGCCCGCTGCGGTCCGGCTCGATCCCGCTCGGCCTCCATTCCGTATTCGACGCGACCCGATTCGATTCCGGCATGCCGGCGGTCCGATGCGGCCCGCTGCTTGCATGGCGTCCCTGTGCCTCTTGGCGCGGCCAGCCCGGTTCGCTTCGGACGCCGTGCTTTTGCGCGCCCCGTCAGACGTACGTTCCACTCCGCGCCGATTGCCCGACTCGTTGCTGACTCACCCCGCAAGGAGCACATGGACAAGGTGCACCCCCAGCTCGCGAGGAACGCGGGGCTCACCGAGCGGCTGACCCGCTGGGAGGAGATCAGGAGGGACAAAAACACTGACACAATTCTAGGCAAATATGGGAAATGGGGGGGAAGACGAAAATCCAGAAGACATGAACAAATATCGGGAATCCTTGAATTTGTGCGTATCTATTGTAAAGACCTGACGGCCGGTGCCGCCGACCCTCAAAGACATCGACGACGACCAGGAGGGGGAGGAGGAGGAGAAGGAGGAGGAGAAGGAGGAAGAGGAGGAGGCGGAGATAGGTTCGAGGAGGAGGAGGAGGAGGGGGAGGAGAAGGAGGAGGAGGAAAAGGACTCCCTCCCGGGGACCCCCCCCCCTGGGGAGGAGGACCAGAGGAGGACCGGCGTGGGAGAGGGGAGGGGATGGGGAGGAGGACCCCCAGGGACGGATGCGATTTGTGTGTATTTCGTTGTGTGTGTGCCAGGGCCCCTCGAGGAGAGCTGGGAGCGCGCCGC